TCATTGCATGGCCAGAAAAACAGCCATAGATGGATTGAAATGATGGGTGTGGCTGTATTCCATTAAAACTTGATTTGTAAAAGCAGGTGGTGGGCAGTATTTGGGCCATAGGCCATAGTTTGCTGGTCCTAGGTTTATACCATTTAATAGGCATAGTCAAGTCCTAAGTTAGCTAAATTTAGATGAGGGTTTTGAAGCGAGGCCCCTGGCTCCTGGACGGCCAGCAGGGCCTCAGGCGGAGCTCTTTTCCTGACAATATGACTGAGCCTGGTAAGCTATCTGAAGGAAGCAGCCCTTTGACCAATGGCAGCTGTGGAAAAGATTAGAGACATGACTAAGAAGAGGGGGAGGGGGCAAAACACAGTCAGAGGATCTTTGTGCTACAGATGGTTAGATCTTTACCAAAGATTCATGCTTAAAGTGAACTTCTTTTATTAAAAATATATAGATTGAGTGGTCTATGGCTGATGAAAAAATTACTGCTTTATTAATATATGAATATTTAACATATTAACTCATAGATTATAGTTATTTAGTCTTTTACTTATTCATTCAACAAACCTTGCCTTCTACATGCCAAGTATTGTACTAAGTCTCAAAGAAACAATATTTAGTAATTCAGGGTTATCACTAGATATCAAGATGTCCAAGTTACCTGCCTTCTAATTTCCTGTTTTTATTTTCTGTGAACTTCCACTATTTCATATTATGTGATTGTAGTGTATTGAACTCCATAGGGCTTTTAAAGTCCTCAAGCTCTTTGACCAAGTTGTTCCTTTGAATTTACTAAGACTGTTTCTGTTATTGCCTCACAAAGATTCTGCATGTCAATAAATACTGCCTGCACATATTCTTTTGCAAGTGGCTTAATGTGTCCCTATCACTTAGCCTTTATGTCTGCTAACTCCATCTTATAATCACAGCTGGACACAGACTTCACCTGCTCTGGGAAGCATTCCTTGATTAAAGACCTTCAGATATAAATCTCCATCCATCATGCCTTCTCTAATCAAGCATGTACTCAAAATCTTTTCTCAGATGCTTCATGGGTCTTCAGACCTAACATGTTCAGACTTGTAGTCAAGACCTACATCCCATCTACCCTTGTCCTCCTCCTCTGCTCCCCTCAATGTTACTTAGATCAGCAAATGGAACCATTTGCCACCCAGTGGTACAAGCCAGAAGCTTGGAGGTCATTCTTGAAAACTTCTTTCCCCTCACCCCTCATGGTCTACAATTTGCAAAGTTTAGGTGATTGTAGTTCTTAAATAGCTCAGCATGACCTCTTTCTAACTCCACTGCCTCTATCGGAGCCTAACCTACCAACTTCTCATACCTGAACCTTCTAATTGTTCTGCTGGAGTCCACTTTCATCTAAACCTCATGTCTACTCTGTATCCATCTGATCACATCAATCCATGCAATGATTTCACACTGCTCTTTGGGAAAAGAACAAATCCCTAAACATTCTACTAGACTCTGTATGATTGACTCTAACCAACAACTTCATCTTTCTCTCAGACTACTCTCTGTCTCTCTTTCTATGACACATCTAAATTAGGTGTCATTTTAGAGTTTTATTTTTGTTTGAACCTGTGAAAGATTTGCATGAATGGTCCCATTCTTCCCCAACTCTTGTTTCCATGCTATGTGCCATGTAACATTTCAATGCTCTCCCACTGTTGTTGACACATAATTTCCTTCCCCTGAGTTCAGCCATGTGATTTGTTTGGGCCAATTAATTAGGCAAGATCAAGAGCTCAGGCTCCAAGAGGCCTTGCACGTTTCTGCCTGTTCTCTTGAACCTCTCCCTTCACCATAAGAAAAACAAACATGTCTGGGGTGGACCTTTGGGCCCATGAAAAGGATGAGGGACATGTGGAGGGGAACTCTCCAGCTGAGTATGGCCTAGATCAGTGGTCGGCAAACTCATTCGTCAACAGAGCCAAATATCAACAGTACAACGATTGAAATTTCTTTTGAGAGCCAAATATTTTTTTTAATTAAATCTTTATTGTTCAGATTATTACATTTGTTCCTCTTTTTTCCCCCCATAACTCCCCTCCTCCCAGTTCCCGCCCCACCATCCGCCCTCACTCCCCACCCACTGTCCTGATCCATAGGTGCATGATTTTTGTCCAGTCTCTTCCCGTATCTCCCACACCCCTTCCCCCCCCAAGAATAGTCAGTCCATTCCCTTTCTATGTCCCTGATTCTATTATGATCACCAGATTATTTATTCACTTGGTTTTCAGATTCACTTGTTGATAGATGTGTATTTGTTGTTCATAATTTGTATCTTTACCTTTTTCTTCTTCCTCTTCTTAAAGGATACCTTTCAGCATTTCATATAATACTGGTTTGGTGGTGATGAACTCCTTTAGCTTTTCCTTATCTGTGAAGCTCTTTATCTGACCTTCAATTCTGAATGATAGCTTTGCTGGATAAAGTAATCTTGGTTGTAGGTTCTTGCTATTTATCACTTTGAATATTTCTTGCCATTCCCTTCTGGCCTGCAAAGTTTCTGTTGAGAAATCAGCTGACAGTCATATGGGTACTCCCTTGTAGGTAACTGAGTTTCTTTCTCTTGCTGCTCTTAGGATTCTCTCTTTGTCTTTTGCTCTTGGCATTTTAATTATGATGTGTCTTGGTGTGGTCCTCTTTGGATTCCTTTTGTTTGGGGTTCTCCGTGCTTCCTGGACTTGTAAGTCTATTTCTTTCACCAGGTGGGGGAAGTTTTCTGTCATTATTTCTTCAAATAGGTTTTCAATATCTTGGTCTCTCTCATCTTCTGGCACCCCTATAATTCTGATGTTGGTACGCTTGAAGCTGTCCCAGAGGCTCCTTACACTATCTTCATATTTTTGGATTCTTTTTTCATTTTGCTTTTCCAGTTGGGTGTTTTTAGCTTCTTCGCATTTCAAATCTTTGCCTTGATTCTTGCGGTCCTCTGGTCTGCTGTTGGGAGTCTGTATAATATTCGTTATTTCAGTCCGTGTATGCTTAATTTCTAGTTGGTTCTTTATCATAACATCGAGGGTCTCATTGGATTTGTTGAGGATCTCAATAACTTTATCTGCGGCTTCTAGACAGTTCTTGAGAGACCTTAAAAGTGTGGTTCTGAACTGAATATCCTCCATTGACAGTTTTGTCCTGTTTCTTTGTCTCCGCATTTTTTATGCTTTCTTGGTGCACCCCCTAGTGGTCTTTGTGTGCAGTCCTCCTGTAGTTAAGCCTTGATTGTTGTAGTTAATACTAGGGGGATTTGACCTCCAGGCCAGCTGGCTGTGAGAATCAGCTGTGTCTGCAGTGGGAAAACTTCTGTCCTCTAGGGAGGTGCTAATCTAGCCTTTGCCTGAGGCTATCCGGCAAATGGCTCTGTGCAGGGGTTGGGCGGGGCGGGTGGGTCGCTCGGGCTCGGGATCAACAGGGTGGGCCGGAGAGAGCAGTTATGGTGGCTCTCAGTTCCATCCCTAGGGGCTCTGCCTCACAGAGTCCCAGCAACCGCTGTAAACCTCGGAGAGAAAGCTGCCTTCGAGTTCTGACTGAAGCCAGACAGTCCCGCTTCTCCCGTTTGAGTCTGGGTCCCTATAGACTCGCCCGGATCTGGAGCTCAGAATCTGAGACTCCCTCCCAATTGAAAGCACCAACCGTGCCCTCCGCCGCCAGCCCGCTCCGCGCCCATTCCGTACCTGAGTATTTCACTTCAGCACTGCGCCTCCTCTGAGTCTGGGTATGATATTCTCTTTCCTCCTAGTTGTAGAATTTCCACTCAGCCAGCCTTCCTGTGGTTCTGGATGATGTCCGTTCTGTCTTTTAGGTGTATTTTGATTTGGTTGTTCAAGGCAGCAATCTCCGGCGTTAACCTATGCCGCCATCTTGGTTCTCTCCCCAAATAATCCGAGAGCCAAATATTTTAAACTTAAATTATATAGGTAGGTACATTGTTATTAACTTAATTAGGGTACTCCTAAGGCTTAGGAAGAGCCACACTCAAGGGGCCAAAGAGCTGCAGGTGGCTCGTGAGCCGCAGTTTGCCGACCGTGGGCCTAGAGATCAATTAACCCTCAGAAGACACATAGATTTTGAAGAAACAATAACTGATTATTGTTTTAAGCCACTGAGATTTAGGATGGTTTGTTAGGTAGCAATAGCTAACTCTTACACTAACACAATTTTATGCATTTTCCTGTGGCTTTGTGAATATTCCCTACATTTGTTCATATATTTATATCATCTGGGGTTAAAATCAGCAAAGATTGCAGAAATGGACCTCGTCTTTCCTATTTTGAATACAGACTCTTGCCTCTGCCAGTAACAATACAATGGCTAATTCCTTGAAGATTCCTTCGTGACTTTCCAAATGAAATGAGGGCTTTTCCCCCAACCCCACAAATTGGGTGGATGAAATTAGGCATGCAGCTTTCCCTTGCATCCAGAGAAGCTCTTCCTCCCTGGGAGGGATGGCAAATCCACCGCCACAACCTGCAGGCCATGCTGCAAGTTCAGAGCTGGTTTCCGTGGTGACGCAATCCACCTGTGTTCTTGATAAAGGCACAGTTGTCACAGACATTTTAAAGTCTGTCCTAGATTTAAATAGCACATCTTGTTCTTTTATCTTTGTCCTCTGAATTTCTCTTTGAAAAGCTGTTGAATGTTTTATGTCCTTCCCACTTTCTCTACCTGACAAAACCTATTATTAAGTGTATGCTAATTAAGCCACAGGGCCAATTCATTGACAATTCAAAATGAAAACCATGACCACATGTGGCTGTCATACCCTGCCCCCAAAAGCCACAACAAAATGCTGTGCTCTAGAGGAGCCTCTTAAAATTAAGATTCTTTATTTGTAAGTGTGAAGAGTGACATGGGAGCTACCGTATAAAACAAAGTGCCCTGATTAATAAGCCTTCAGCTTTGCTTTGTCAGAACAGAAAAGTAGATGCAAAGTGAACAGTCAACAGGTTTCACAGCGCCAGAGTAAATAAATACATACACACCTGGACTGATGCAATTCTTCTCCCTGAAATAGAAGTTAAAAATATACATTTTAGTTTTGCTTAAATCCACCCAAAATTCCAAAGCAGACACCTTGAAAAGACAGACAGTTAACTTTTCTAAGCTAACATGTTTTAGATTTCTCTCTCTTTTTTTTTTTGGAGGGAGGGAGAGATTAGAAATTTGAATAATCTGTTCTTTCTTTCCTTTGAAACTGGTCATACAATGTCGTCTTTGAATTATGTGTACCTGCAAGAAGGCCACCTTTACCAGCCGATGCCGGACAGACATCTGTTCTAGCCTGACCTCCGAGGGCCCTTTCTTAAAGTACCCTCAGGATATAGGAAATGAAAGTGAGCTAGACTTCCATCTCCTTCCCCAAACTGCTGCACCCCTTTTACTTGAGAGGCAGCTCATCCAAAAGCGTGTGTGTCCCCTCAGCGGTGACTCCTGTGCTGTCTCCCACCCCAGGGCGCTGGCCTTTGGGGAAATGTGGAAACACTGCGGCCCAGGGGCTGAGAGGCAGGGGGCTTAGAGCTGTTACCTGAGGCCCCGGGAGCCGTGCAGCTGGGCTGGGCGAGCGGCTTCCTCTCCCTGGAAGAGAGGAGGGGGGAAGGGGCCCCTCGTGGACAGGCTGAAGCACTGGAAAGGCAGCCTCATCTGTGGGCCTTGTTTGGGGCTCAGATGAGTCAGCTGTGGCGAGGATCCTTTTGGGGTCCGGGGGCAATCTTGAGCCAAGTCTCAAGGTTGATAAAGAGTGGGAAGAATTTTGGGGGCTTGCAGGTAGACTCTGGGAAAGGTAAGATGGGGAGCCTGCAGGCTCCTTCCGGCTGCCCCAGGTGGGCTCTTCCAAGGTCTCCTGCTGAGGCAGGGAGTGCCTCATCCCACAGCCATTGCTCCTTAATCTCCTCAAGGTGGGCGAGGTGGAAATCCGGCCTGGGGCCTGGCGGTCGAAGTGGAGAAGGCTCCCCTGGTTCTCACAGGGCTTCCTCGACAGGCCTCCCTGGGGGTGAAGAGGACGGGTCTTCAGGCTTTGGGGCTGCTCTGGGTGCGACTGGTTTGTCTTCCCCATGCAGCTTAGAGGCCGTGTGGCTGGAAGCTGCCAAGGGACACTACCAGAGCTGCTCTTCTCTGGACCACATGGGGGTTGTTCAGTTTCCGCATCCAAGTGCCACTCTCCCTCTAGGATGTCTTTGTCCTTTTCCAGAAGATAATCACAGGCAGGTTGCTGCATCTTTAGTGAGGAAGAGCGGAGTGTGGAATCTATCACGAATGAAGGACACTCGGGTGAGAAAAAAGGTGTCTGATATTTCACATGAAAATTCTAATTCATCATAGGAGACAGGGATAGCCCAGTTTACATGATCAGCCTTTACGGTTGGGAGATAATTAACGTGCGTGAGTCCATTCTTCTCATCTGAATAGCCTGCATGTAAAAATTGGTTTGCTATTTACTTGATATCCCTTCTAGGTTCAAACAAAAAAAAAACACCTTAAAAAACTTTAGTGAGCTAAGAGACTTCTTGGAAGCCAGATAGCTTGGAAGCCAGATAACATCAGTATTGACCACATATTCTGAGCTCTTCAATAGTAAAATTTTAGCAAGTTTATAATTCACAGTGAAACTCGGCAAGCTGGAGCCCTTTAAGAATGAACACATTTGGATAGCCAAATTTTAAGGAGAACTAATAATTTCCTTTTTTAGTGCTAAAAATTTTTTAATTGCACCAACAACATTTTCTAGTAGAACTTTTTCTATGGTGTATTATTTACCTCCTCAACCTTACCCCTCACAGTACTATCTGAAATACAATGATTATAATCCACATTTAATGTAGTTCTATGAGGAATGCAATACTTGTCACAGGTTTTTATAGCATATGAGTACTTACTCCAAACAAAATGACCTCACCCTGATATACTCCCTAATTTTTATTCATTGCTTCTCATTTTATTTTGTGTGTTTGACTATGGCAGCTGCTCTCCTCTTTAATTTGTTTCTTCTAATCGGTTCTAAGCATAGAAGTTAAAAAAAAAAAAGCTGTGTTGAGAGAATTAATAGGCTCTTACTTAGATTTACTCTTATCAGCAAAAAGGAGGAACCCAGTGTTATGCATTGTCATGACATTGACCCTGCAGACTTTGTGCTTTCTTATACTTACTCCCTGGTTCTCATCTGGGTTAAGGCCAAATGAATTTTAGGTTGAGAGTTGTATGAGGAACTGCCTAGACACCAACTAAAGTCAATTCAGCTCTTATCTGCAAAAGAAATCTGCAATTCTTAATGTTGGTTGTGCTTTAATATTTTGAATGGAGGACTCAAGTGTACAGAACTTTCCATGTAGAATAAAAATGCACAAGGTCCCTTATCTGGGACACCTGGGAGAGGGGAATATTAGTTAGGAAACTCACATTTTCGTCAACTGGTTTTGTTTTCAGATTGATAATCTTGGCTGCTGCTTTAAAAGCTAATCCCAGCTTCGCTGGAGAAGAATGAAAAAACCCATCTTGACCACTAATAAAAACAGATACATTAGGCCTCTTTCCAGGCCCTAACTGGAGAGGCCAGTTTCTCATCCTCCCAACAAAAAGATGGCTGAGCTGAAGACTGGAGTTACAGGTACTTTCACACATGTACACACCCAGGGGATTTTTAAATGTTCCTCTTTATAGCACTGTCCGCATCCTAGGCAGCCGCACCCTAACAGGAATTCACTGCATTCACAAAGGCACTAGCAGAATAGCTCCATCAGAATTCTTAGTCCCTGGGGTTCCCCTCCGGCCTTTGAGGGGTTAGGGCACTGCTTCAGATTTCCTTCCCAGTGTCCCGACACAAGGGTATGGTGGGCAGTAGGAGGTTATTTTGTCCCCTAGAATTTAAGGGTCATAAAGTATTGTTTAGTGCCCAGTGTCTCAAATATTGGAACCAAGGCACTAGTAACTGCTGATATAACTCACCGCAAAACCAGAGAATCTTTAAATAACAGGACTTTGGGAGGCAGTTTGCAGAGAGAAGAGCCCCCAGGCTCTGGACCATCTGCTGGCTCTCCCACCTCACCTCACTACCAGCTAGCCTGGGACCCAGGACAGGCCACACCCCCTTTGTTAGCCTCTGGGCCCTTTTATGAAGAGGCATCAAAGTACCTCCCTCGCCGAAACCGGTTTGGCTCAGTGGATAGAGTGTCGGCTTGCGGACTGAAAGGTCCCAGGTTCGATTCCGGTCAAGGGCATGTACCTGGGTTGTGGGCACATCCCCCAGTGGGAGATGTGCAGGAGGCAGCTGATCGATGTTCCTCTCTCATCGATGTTTCTAACTCTCTATCTCTCTCCCTTCCTCTCTGTGAAAAATCAATAAAATATATTTAAAAAAAAAAAAAAAAAAAAAAAAGTACCTCCCTCAATGGCTTGTTGCAGAGGTTCAAAGAGATCATGGCTGAGGGTCCTGGGGGGCTCTCCCTAAATGATGACCTCCATGAATATGATAAGGAGTCAAAAGTTACCAGAAGAATTCAGGTTCATGCTTCTCCTTTCTAGCCTCTAAACGACTAAATCAATAAATAATATTATAAAGAAAATTCTCCAGCCTTTTACCTGCCAAGCCTTAAGAACCCAGAAAACGCCACCCACACTGTTGGGAGGCAATCCCAGTGTACGGGAAATTAAAGCATGCAGATTAATGACTCACCTGTTCTTTTAGGCCTGAGAAGCCAGCAAGACAGGACCAAGAGAAGCTGGTAGCAACAGGCTGTGAACAAATGAAAGTGCAAGAGAGAAACCCAGACAGAGTGAAGGTTGCCCCCAATACCTGTGAGTGGTCTGTCTCTGAAGACGACATTGTCCGGGTGAGTCCTGACAAGGGAGTCAGCAGAACCACAAAGCCAACTGCCAGGCGAGGGCTGGGAAGAGCAGGCTCCACACTTGTAACAATGGACCCTTCTCAGCCGAGTGTGGGCTGATACACGTTGAAATGAGGAACTGGTCTCTCCCCTCCTTAGAGATCTTTCTAGTTATTTGTTTATGAAAAAGCCTACAGGGAAGCAAGTTCAGAATCTAAAATCACCTCGGAAAGAGTCGGGTGATTTGTTTCTGCCGAACAATAACTGATCCAGCACAAAAATGATGCAAATGCGGCTTCTTTGCTTCCCCTTCAGGTGCTCACTGATGGGTGTTGATAGTTCAATAAGGCATTTCCAGGTTCCTATTCTGTTTATTTTCTTTTTAAAAAAATGTTTTATTGATTTCAGAGAGAGTAATGGAGAAGGAGAGAGAAATAGAAACAGCGTTGAGAGAAACATCGGCTGTCTCCTGCGTGCCCCCTACTGGAGAGCAAGCCTGCAACCCAGCCGTGTCTCCTGACCCGAAATCAAACTGGTGACCTCAGTGGACTTTTGCTCAACCAATTGAGCCACTCTGGCTGGACTCTCTTTGTCTTCTTAAAGGTTGTGAGAATCATTCCTTTTGACCTTACTTAGCTCACATCTTAAAACATTTTGTGTGGATCTATTTAATTAGTGGACTGTTTGATCAGCATCGAATGATAGAGGACTAATCATTATTCTTGGGGACAAATTTGTGCATTCATTTTCATAAAGTTAAAATGAAATACATTGTGTTTCCCAGCAGTCTCGTGAGAGCAGGACCCCGAAGAACCTTTATTTGGTGTCAGATGGAGACATCACTTTCATCCTCAAGAATGCACGCAGTGTTAAAAGAATATTTCTACAGACTCTTCATAAAAAAAACCAAATTCAAATGAATTCTAATTAAACCTAATTCACAGAAGTTTTCATTGCTTAGAATCATTACATGCTTGTGAAGATTTCTTTGGGTCAGTGGTTCTCAAAGTGGAGTCCTGGATCAGCATCAGCATCACTTGGGAACTTATTTGAAGGCCAATTCTGGCCCCTCCCACCTCCCAAATCTGAAATTCTGGGGGTAGGGCCAGAAGTTGGTGTTTTAACAAGCTCTCCAGTGATGTTTACACATGTTAAACATTTGTGAACTGCAGCTTTCGGTGGAATAAAAGGTTTAATTCATAGATCTTGGTCTTGTGATAACTTTTGTATTAGTCTTTACTTTTCTCATATTAGCTTTACTAGAATATTATTTATTTACAATATTGAATAATAATGACTTTACCTACTCCCTTCACCATAGTGGCCAGCATCACTACCACCAAGACAAACACAGTATCGAGGGCATTTCTCTACTTGCCAGCATGGAGCCAGCATAAAAATAGTCTAAGCTCTTGCCAAAGCTATCTAGAAATGAAATGTTTCGCTTTAGAAAGAAATAAAAATAAAGTATTTTAGCTTTTGGCTTGTGGACCGAAGGTCGTGCTTTATCTCCTAGTCCCCTCACGCACTCAGGATTGTAAAACTGTCTCTCCCAGGGGATAATGATAACGAGATATTTGATCTCCATCCAAAAATGTCCAACCTCTGGTTGTAACTTAAATAAGAAAATCAAGAGTCTACAAAAGGGTCACAAAGGACTGTCAGGGGAAAAAATAGTGCAACATGTAAGGAGAGAGGGGACAGAAAGGCATTTTGTATGGGGAAGGGGCACCCTGGAGAAAAGCAGCTTCTCCTTCAAGATCCTGGGGTGAGAAGAGATAAACCAAAGAACTTATGTACTTATATGCATAGGCCATGGACACAGGCAATAGGATGGTGAAGACCTGGGCGGGGTGGGGGGGTGAGGGGGGGTGGGGGGGGTGGGGGGGTACAGGGGCTGGGAGGAAGGGGGTAAATGGGGAGGGGAATAGGGGATATCTGTAATACTATCAACAATAAAAATATATATTAAAAGAAAACATTCCCCTTTGGACATTTATGTAAGGGTACAGGGGGAGAATTTTTGTTTTAGTAAAAGTTGTATATGCATCTCATCCTTTATTTTGAAGATTATGGGAATTATTGCATGTACCAACTATATGAGTAAAATGTAAACTTAGTAGAATTGCCCAAGGGAAAAAAAAAAAGATCCTGGGGCAAATTCACTGAAAGTCACGGCAGTCCCTTCTCTCTCAGTGCCACACACAGTTCCTCTCCGGTCCTGCAGAGGGGCAGCTCGCTCATGCTTCCCGCTTCCTGCCCAGGTTACTCGAGCTGGAGAAGCTTTGGTTGGGGAGAAAGCCATCTGAGAGGTGCCCCATGCAAAGTTGAAAGCCTGCATCATGGATGTCCAGATCTCTGGCTGCAAACTGTGGAGTTCCGATTGGCCTTCCAGCTTAAGAAAAAGTAGTCTAACATTAAAAAATAGGAGATTTTAGAGGAAGATTTAGTTTGTAAGCTTTAAAAAAAAAAAAGTTAACCACCTGGCAACACTACGTTCCCATTCCCACACTTCCATATCTATACAGAACGACTAGATCTGAGGACAGGCTCCCTGCTTTAGACGGGTCAAGCCGCGTCCAGTTCCCCACACTCTCTGCCACTCCCTCAAGTGTCCTGATGCAGGATAATGGATGCTATTGATCACTGTGCTTGTAGATTTTATTTTTCTAGGTTCTTGAATCATGTTGAAATATAACTTATTTAGTGTGTTATGAACTGAAATATATGATAAACTCCACTGTACGCTTGTGGTCTAAAACTTAAAGTCAAAGATTCATGAATCAGATAATTTTAAAGTTTTTGACTTCTTGAAATAACTATTTTAAAGAAAGATAGCTCTATTGAGCCATCTTAAATGTTGTACTTTATTCTTACAACCTGTATTTGCAGTTTGCAGCTGGAGATCTGGACATTCATAATACTACTAGAGGCCTGGTGCACAAAAATTTGTGCACTCAGGGGGGTCCCTCAGCCTGGCCTGTGCCCTCTCGCAGTCTGGGGCCCCTCGGGGGATGTCCACCTGCTGGCTTAGGCCCGCTCCCCAGGCGATTGGGCCTAAGCTGGCAGTTAGACATCCCTCTGGCAGCCCAGGAGCCCTCAGGGGATGTTCACTTGCCAGCGGGGAGCAGGCCTAAGCTGCAGTCGGACATCCTTAGTGCTGCTGAGGAGGTGGGAGAGGCTCCTGCCACCACCACTGTGCTGGCAGCCATAAGCCTGGCTTGTGGCTAAGCAGAGCTCCCCCTGTGGGAGCGCACTGACCACCAGGGGGAAGCTCCTGCATTGAGTGTCTGGACTCTGGTGGTCAGTGTGTGTCATAGTGACCAGTCATTCCTAGTTTTTCTGCTGTTAGGGTCAGTTTGCATATTACCCTTTTATTATATAGGATAGAGGCCTAGTGCACAGGTGGGGGCTGGCTGGTTTGCCCTGAAGGGTGTCCCAGATCCTGCTGGGGTGCCTGGCCAACCTGGGTGAGGGGCTGATGGGTTTTTGCAGGCTGGTCACACCCCCTTCAGGGTGGGGGTCCCCACTGGGGTGCCTGGCCAGCCTGGGTGAGGCACTGATGGCTGTTTGCAGGCTGGCCAAGCCCCCCAGTGGGAACCCTCACCCCATGGAGGTGTGGCCATCTTGGGTGAGGGGTTGAGGGCCATTTTCAGGCTGCCCACAGTCCCTTCAGGGTGGGGGAGTCCCACTGGGGTGTCTGGCCAGCCTGGGTGAGGGGCTGATGGCCATTTTCAGGCTGGCCACATCCCCCGGCGACCCAAGTTCCCGGCCTCTCCTTTCTTTTTTTTTCTTTCTGGGATTTATTTGTCTTCTATAATTGAAACTTTGTAGCCTTGAGTGGAGCCCAGGTCCTACTGGAAGCCTGGGTTGCCTCTCCCCCAGGCTCCCAGCCCCTCCTTGAGCGGAAACCATGGCTGGCTGGAAGCACATATCTGGGATTTATTTGTCTTCTATAATTGAAACTTCGTAGCCTGGAGCAGAGCCCAAGGCCGGCCAGGGCAGGCGGGAAGCTTGGCTTCCTCCATCGCCGGGGACAACCAAACCTCCTGCTCGCTACAGCTCTGTGGCCGCCACCATCTTAGTTGGGTTAATTTGCATACTCACTCCTGATTGGCTGGTGGGCGTGGCTTGAGCGTAACAGAGGGATGGTTAATTTGCATGTTTCTCTTTTATTATATAGGATTTTACTGGGTTCTGTAGTTATTCTATTTGCTATTCCTACAGAGGGATATACTTACGTGCTTGGTGTTGATTTACAGCCAGGAAAGTGTTGGACTGAGTTCTGACAGTGTGTGGGTTTATAACAAAATATCTCAAATAGGACGTGTTTTGAAAGAAGAAATGAGAAAAATACAATTAAATTATCAGATTGCCTGATCAGTTATTTGGAAGACTATGGGGCATGTAGAAGGATGTGGAGCCTCAGCTGCAGTCACAAGGAGCCCTTGATCTCTGTGCCATTGAACACATGCAGGATGGAACAGCTCCCATCAGGCCCAATCCTCTGCTCGCCAAGACTCTTATCAGGAACAAGGTCTGAGGTCTTCCCATGCAGCTACTGCTGACCCCTAGTGCTATTTTTTGGCTGAAAAGAGAAGGTCCTATGGGTTGGGATTCCCAATGAGTTCCCAATGTCCTCATCCCTTCTAAGTCACAGGACAGAGCTAACTTTGCCTCTTTGAATTGGGGTTTTAGTAGACATTTGTTAGCAGCCTTCCTGGATCCATGACTCACCCCACTTCCAAAGAGTTGTGATTTTCATTTAGGTTTTATGTGTTTCCATCATGCCCAGCTTGTTGGATGGAACACATGACCTTGGCTAAGCCAAATATGCATTCCAATGCCCAGGCTCCTAGATGCACATGTGAGCTGAGCCAGTCCAGTCAATGTGACTCCAGGAATTTTGCTGAGAATACTGGGACAAAGCTCTCTTTCCTGATGGACGTGAGAGAGGGGGCATGCAGCCCTGGGAACTGCTGGCAGGCATCTTGAGACC